TACGGGCCCTCCCATAGCTGCTGCCAGGCCCCTAATCTGCCATTGGTCCCCTGTATACCGCCTCCTCATGCTGCTGCCAGGTCCAGAGTCCTCACATTGGTCCCTGTACTGGCCTTCCCATTGCTGCTGTCGCTCCCATCGCCACACTCTGCCATGTGCCACATTCAGGTCTCTGTCACACATGCTTGGTGTTTTCAATTTTTTGACATAGGGTGCTGGCAGATTACGGGCCTCCCATAGCTGCTGCCAGGATCCCCCTAATCTGCCATGGGCCCCTATATAGCCGTCCTCATGCTGCTTGCCAGTCCAGAGTCATCTCATGGGTCCCTGTTACTGGCCTCCCATTGCTGCTGTCCTCCATCGCCTAGCACTCTGCCATGTGGCCACTTCAGGTCTCCTCACACTGCTGAGTGTTTTAGAATTTTTTGACATAGGGTGCTGGCAGATTACGGGCCTCCCTATAGCTGCTTGCCACGGCCCCTAATCTGCCATGGGGCCCCTATATACCGCCTCCTCATGCGTTGCTGCCAGGTCCAGAGTCTCTCTAATGGGTCCTGTACGGCCTCCCATTGCTGCTGTCTCCATCGCCACACTCTGCCATGTGCCACTTTCCGGTCTCCTTCACACTGCAGGTGTTTTCAATTTTTTGACATAGGGTGCTGGCAGATTACGGGCCTCCTATACGCTGCTGCCAGGCCCCTAATCATGCCATGGGGGCCCCTATATACCGCCTCCTCATGCTGCTGCCAGGTCCAGAGTCTCTCATGCCCTGTACGGCCTGCCATTTGCTGTCTCCATCGCCCACTCTGATTCCATGTTGCCACATTCAGGTCTTTCACACTGCTTGTGTTTTTCCATTTTTTGACATAGGGTTGCTGGCAGATTAATGACGAGCCTCCCATAGCTTGCAGGCCCCTAATCTGCCATGGGCCCCTATATACCTCCTCCTCATGCAGCTGCCAAGCCCAGAGTCTCTCATGAGGTCCCTATAACGCTCCCATTGCTGCTGTCTCCATCGCCCATACACTCTGCCATGTGCCACTTTCAGGTCTCCTCACACTGCTGGTGTGTTCAATTTTTTGACATAGGGTGCTGGCAGATTACGGGCCTCCCATAGCTGCTGCCAGGCCCCTAATCTGCCATGGGCCCCTATATACCGCCTCCTCATGCTGCTGCCAGGTCCAGAGTCTCTCATGGGTCCCTGTACGGCCTCCCATTGCTGCGTCTCCATCGCCACACTCTGCCCCATGCCACATTCAGGTCTCTTCACACTGGGGGCCCTGTGTGGGTTTTCAATTTTTTGTCATAGGGTGCTGGCAGATTATACGGGCCTCCCATTAGCTGCTGCGGGCCAGGCCCCTAATCTGCCATGGGCCCCTATATACCGCCTCCTCATGCTGCTGCCAAGTTCCAAGAGTCTCTCATGGGTCCCTGTATACGGCCTCACCATTGCTGCTGTCTCCATCGCCACAAACACTCTGAGAGCCATGTGCCACATTCAGGTCTCCTCACACTGTCTGTGATGTTCAATTTTTTGACATAGGGTGCTGGCAGATTACGGGGCCTCCCATAGCTGCTGCCAGGGCCCCTAATCTGCCATGGGCCCCTATATACCGCCTCCTCTTGCTGCTGCCAGGTCCCAGAGTCCCTCGAAAATCAGGGTGCCTGTACGGGTCCCTCCCACATTTGCTGCTGTCTCCATCGCCACACGCTGCCATGTGCCACATTCAGGTCTCTTCACACTGCCTTGTTATTGTTTTTATTCATATTTTTTTTTTTTTTTTTTTTTTCAATTTTTTGAACATAGATGCTGGCAGATTACGGGCCTCCATAGCTGCTGCCAGGCCCCTAATCTGCCATGGGCCCCTATACCCGCCTCCTCAATGCTGCTGCCAGGTTCCAGAGTCTCTCATGTGGTCCCTGTACGGTCCTCCTACCCCATTGCTGCTGTTCCATCGGCCACACTAGCCATGATGCACACATTTCAGGTTCTTCACACTGCTTTGTTTTCCATTTTTTTGACATAGGGTGTCTGGCAGATTACGGGCCTCCCATAGCTGCTGCCAGCCCCTAATCTGCCATGGGCCCTTAATATACCGCCTCCTCATGCTGCTTGCCAAGTCCCAGAGTCTCATCAAGGGTCCCTGTCGTTCCTCCCATATGCTGCTGATCCCTCCATCATCCGACACTCTGCCATGTGCCACTTTCAGGTCTCCTCACACCTACTGCTGTGTGTGTTGAATTTTTTTGACATAGGGAGCTTGGCAGATTACGGGCCCCCACATAGCTGCTGCCAGGCCCCTAATCTGCCATGGCCCCTATATACCGCCTCCTCATGCTGCTGCCCAGGTCCAGAGTCTCCTAATTGGGCCCCTGTACCACCTCCCACATGCTGCTGTCTCCATCGCCCACTCTGCCATGTGCCACATTCATGTCTCTTTCACACTCGCTTGTGTTTTCAATTTTTTTCATAGGTGCCGGCAGATTTACGGGCCTCCCATGTCTGCTGCCTGGCCCCTAATCTGGCCATGGGCCCCTAATATACCGCCTCCTCATGCTGCTGCCAGGTCCAATGTCTTCTCATGGGGTCCCATGTAACGGCCTCGCCATTGCTGCTGTCTCCATCGCCACACTCCTGCCATGTGCCACTTTCAGGTCAAGTCCTCCACATGCTGGAGTGTGTAACATTTTTTGTCATAAGTGGGGCTGGCAGATTACGGGGCCTCACATCAGCTGCTGCAACCCGACCCAAATCTGCCATGGGCCCCTATACTGCCCTCCCTCATGCTCTGCCAATTCCTCCAGAGTGTGTCATGGCTCCCTGTACGCGGCCTCATCCCCAATTGCTGCTGTCTTCGCCATCGCCACACTTGCCATGTGCCACTTTCAGGCCTCCTCACAACATTGCGAGTGCCAGTCCATTTTTTTGTCACCAGGGTGCTGGCAGATTACGGGCCTCCCATAAGCTGCTGCCAGAGCCCCTAATCTTGCCATGGGCCCCTATACCGCAAACCTCATGCATGCATTGCCCCGGCCATGGTACCCACAGTCTCTCATGCCATGGTGCCACTTTCAGGTCTCCTCACACTGCTGGTGTGTTCCATTTTGTGACATAGGGTGCTGGCAGATTACGGGCCTCCCATAGCTGCTGCCAGGCCCCTAATCTGCCATGGGCCCCTATACCCCGCCTCCTCATGCTGCTGCCAGGTCCAGAGTGTGTCATGGGTCCCTGTACGGCCTCCCATTGCTGCTGTCTCCATAGCCACACTCTGCCATGTGCCACTTTCAGGTCTCCTCACACTGCTGGTGTGTGTTCAATTTTTTGACATAGGGTGCTGGCAGATTACGGGCCTCCCATTGCTGCTAGCCAGGCACGTAATCTGCCATGGGCCCCCGTACCGACTCCTCATGCTGTGACGTTGCAACAGGTGGAATTCAACCCTACATATGTTAGACCGCCTTTACGAACAGCGAAAGGCCATCACACGATTTCCTGATGTTAAAAGCGGATAAAGGTATCCCTGTGTAACTTAGATGTCAGCCATTGGCAGCTCATGCGTGACACCTGCGCTTGCTCAGGCCCTTTGAGGAGCCACGCTATTCGTGAGTCGGCAGGACTATGGGATGAACGACGTCCATTCCTCTGTTGCACGTCCTGGAACAAATGCTGTTAACAATGGCTGGTCAGGGTGCGGTAGACGTGGCGCACAGATCTCAACGCCACATGACCCCTGTGGGGGCAGGACAGGAAGAAGAGGAGGAGGGTAGAGGAGGACATTGGTGCTCAGGAATTATTGAGTGAGAAATGGGTGGTTTTTCCACTCAGCGGACAGGAGTGGAGGAGCAGGAGCATCTGGTAAGAGGAGGCGAGGAGACAGAGGACCCAGAACGCACAAAAAAGTTTGGCAGTATGCTGTGGAGATGGATGCAGGGAGTCCCTCGCATTCCTTGGCACAAATGGCCCATAGCATGCTCGCTTGCTTGCGTAGCGACAGCCGAATAATAACCATCAGACAGAGGGATGACTTTTGGCTGTCCACCTTGTGGACCCTCGCTACCGTTCAAAAATGGGTGGCCTTTTTCACACCTGCTGAGAGGGAGGCCAAAATAACGTACTATAAAAAACCACCTATGTAGTCAGCTGGTCTCTGCCTTTTCTGCGCCAACGTCCATCCTCAGACACTGTGGGCCCTGTGCGCTCGCGTTCCGCTGCCATGGCAGCAGGGGAGGGGTGGGGTGGTAGGAGCAGTGGCAGCTCCACCAGCAGCGGCTGCCTCAGTCTGCAGTCGATGATGAGTAGCTTTCTTCACCAGCGCAGTGAGGAAACTACTAACACCTAGCCGCAGCAGCAGCAGCATCAGGTGGACCTGGAGCAGGACCTCAAACAACAGGCTTAGGCCTACTTGGACAGCACCCTGCCAACCGAGGTAGACAATCCTTGACTACTGGGCAACGAACTTGACCTTGACCCCCAACTAGCTGAATTTGCCCTTGAAAGGCTGTCATGCCCGGCCAGTAGCGTGGCATCGGAGCGCGTGTTTAGTGCGGCAGGAGGTATTGCAACTCCGCGGAGGACACGACTGTCCACCCAAAGTGTGGAGGAGACTCACGTTTGTGAAAATGAATCAGGCGTGGATTAGTCTGGATTTCAAACCCAGTTCCTGACACAACTGACTAAATCCGCCATGAATCATGCCCCAAACATGTGCCACTTTCAGGTCTCCTCACACACTGCTTGTGTTTTCAATTTTTTGACATAGGGTGCTGGCAGATTACGGGCCTCCCATAGCTGCTGCCAGGCCCTAATCTGCCATGGGCCCCTATATACCGCCTCCTCATGCTGCTGCCAGGTCCAGAGTCTCTCATGCCATGTGCCACTTTCAGGGTCTCCTCACACACTGCTGGTGTGTTCAATTTTTTGTCATAGGGTGCTGGCAGATTACGGGCCTCCTATAGCTGCTGCCAGGCCCTAATCTGCCATGGGCCCCTATACCGCCTCCTCATGCTGCTGCCAGGTCCACAGTCTCTCATGGGTCCCTGTACGGCCTCCCATTGCTGCTGTCTCCATCGCCACACTCTGCCATGTGCCACTTTCAGGTCTCCTCACACACTGCTGGTGTGTTCCATTTTTTGTCATAGGGTGCTGGCAGATTACGGGCCTCCCATTGCTGCTGCCAGGCCTGTAATCTGCCATGGGCCCCCCGTACCGCCTGGTCACGCTGCTGCTGGGTCCACACAGTGTGACATGGGTCCCTGTACCGCCTCCCATTGCTCCCACTCTGCCATGTGCCACTTTCAGGTCTCCTCACACTCCTGCTGGTTTCCATTTTGTCATAGGTTGCTGGCAGATTACAGGCCTCCCATAGGTGCTGCCAGGCCCCAAATCTGCCATGGGCCCCCGTACCGCCTCGTCACGCTGCTGCTGGGTCCACAGTGTGACATGGGTCCTTGTACCGCCTCCCATTGCTCCCCACTCTGCCATGTGCCACTTTTTTTTTCAGGCTCCTCACACTCCTGCTGGTTTCCATTTTGTCATAGGTTGCTGTATGGCCTCCCATTGCTGCTGCCTCCACCGCCACACTGTGGCTCCAAACACTGGTTTTGGCCCCGTGACTGGCCAAATGAGTGAAGTGTGCGGTGATTCTAAGATCGACGGCACTCATCTGCATGTCATACTGAGTGACAGTATTATTTTTCTTCCCCAGCAGACTCCAAGGGCATTTAAATTAAAGGTACAGTGTTCTGCACTAATATTAAGTCTCTCTCTGAAGCCTAGAGAAACACCCTTTTTTAAGTTAAATTCACAGCGAATTTATTCGACTCGAATCGAATATTGTCCACGAATTCGCCGAATCAGTCGAATCGAATTTTTCATTTCTTCGCTCATCTCTAGCTCAGGCTATTGGCGGCTCGCTGAGAGGCTGAGCCAGGTGCCAGTCCAGGCTCCTGGGTGGATCTAGACCAGTGGTCGGCAAGCCGCGGCTCGCGAGCCACATGCGGCTCTTTACACATTTTAATGCGGCTCTTCTGTGTGCCGGGCGCCCGCTCCCCTCCCTCCTCTCAGGCGGCCGCCCCAAAAGTCAGGACTCTGCAGCTAGCCCAGCAATGGGCAAACTACGGCCCGGCGGACCTTTTAATGCGGCCCGCGGAGCGTGGCAAACATTGGCTGTCAGGATGTAGGCGGGGCAGCGTGACGAACTCCTCTCCTCTCACAGTCCGCCCTGAAGACCGGAACGGCACGGGAACACGGCGAGAGGAACGCGCGGAGCAAAGGTAAGTGAATTGACACAATATGAGGAATGAATTACTATAGGGGGGATGAATTACTATAGGGGGGGATGAATTACTATATGGGGGATGAATTACTATAGGGGGGATGAATTACTATGGGGATGAATTACTATAGGGGGGATGAATTACTATATGGGGGATTAATTACTATATGGGGGATGAATTACTATATGGGGATGAATTACTATATGGGGGATGAATTACTATATGGGGGATGAATTACTATATGGGGGATGTATTTTCAGTTTTAAAAATGTGGCTCTCAAAATAAATTTTAATCGTGGTTTTGGCGAGATTTGGCTCAGTTGAAAAAAAAGGTTGCCCACCACTGATCTAGACCATACAGTTGCAATCTTTCCACCAGTCTGGACCAGCTCCACAGTACTTCTGCTTTAAACCCCATCCAAAATATTTTGCTAAAGCACTGTGCATCTTAAAGTTTTTTAATTTTTTTCCCTTGTCTGCTACATCTCAGTGCTGCGGATTTCCTATAACCTGTTTGAATCCATATGCTGTCAACATGTATGCACTATAAAACACAGGGAAAAAGCAAGCACTCCAGTAGATCAGCATGAATGGATATCCTCTAATACAGAATGGTAAGATAGAGCTGAATAGACAATGCATTTCATTTGTTTGGCCTTGGCCATGACTAAGGCCTAACAGCTGAAACACATTGGCTGCCTATTCAGCTGTATCTTACCGTTCTGTTTTAAAGGATATCCACTTATGCTGATATACTAGAGTGCCAGCTTTTCCTGTGACTTATTCAGCACTGGAGGCTATCAGAAGCCTTTCAGCCTGAGCACCTCGCTCCCACAGCAAGAGATTTCAGTTGACGTTGCAGAGCTGTCTCATCTGTCTTAGAACATGTATGCACTCCAGCAATTGCTGCATGGCATGCCTCAGAATGAGTTTCCCGATAGTGACAACCAGGCCCAGACTGGCCATAGGGCTGCATATCCTAACAGGGCCAAAACTGCAGCCTGCCATCTTCCCTCAGAGCCTCCTCCTGGGCCTAGTCACTTGTGCCACACAGCGCTCTCTCATAATTCACCAAACCACCAATCCCTTCGCACACAGCGCCGCAATCTCCCGGCCAGGCAGCTTCACCACACGGCAGCCACCATGTTCCTTGACATCACCGTGGCAAAAGGCACAGGAAAACAATCTCCCTTTCCAATTGGCAGATGTCACATCCAATAGAGAGGAAAATGTCTCCTGGCCAGTGGTGATCCACGATTTGGAATGTAGGCATGAGTTACCGGTCAAGGTGAGTGCAATAATGTCACTGGAAGAGAAGACAGAAAATGAAGAGTGCTGAGTAGTGTGCAAAGCTTTGGTTTGCTGCTAAGTGACCACACACTCACTGTTCTATCAGTGTGTACACAGTGCGAGGTCACCAGCTGTGTTTCACAGTGACTGAGCGCACAATTTATATTTTGGTAAATAGCAGATGTTGTGGCATTGAATGCAACATTGTATTGTATTGGAAATCTGTACTGAGAGATTTGTGAGGCTGTCTTTACTGACCTCTACTTGAAAAATGCTAGTTGAGTGGGTTCAATACTTGGCATCACTGATCCAGCTCACACATGCAGTAAGGGAAGGCTGAGCGCCTAAATGCTCAGTTAAAAATAATCTCCTCTCCTCACAGTAAGCTTGCGAGAATTATCTTCCCTGCCCACTGTGACTGAAGAAGGTTAAATATAACTAAAAGACATAGAAAAAACCAGTAGTTGTCATTATTTGTAATTTACTTAAAAAAATGGTCTGCTCAGTCTAAAATGTCCAGGGCCATTTTTTGTCTCAATCTGAACCTGGTGACAACTGTAGACCATGCTTGTGTAATGTGGGTTAAAAACAACCACTTGTTGCCTTAGAAGTGGTTACAAGTGGCTGTTGTATTAGAAGCTTGTGTGACAGTGCAGGAGAGCAACTGGTAGACAAGGGCAGAATGTTGTCACCCTATAACAGGAAGTGCTTAAACAAGGACCTTAGTGGACATATCACCAAGTGGTATTTTTTTAACGAAAGCTACAGATTTACGACTTTTGAAATTACATTTGAAAGCTTATACTAGATTCACCTGATTGGGTGTACATACATACATATTTAATATTTCAGATGTTACTTCCAAGTAGAAGCAAATAAACCTTTGTATGTTCCACAAATATACTGTTTGTGCCATGATCACTGTGATGGTGCCAAACTAGCTCATTCATTTTCTCCCCAACTTTGACATCGACCCCATTTTGTAGACTATGGTGAATACAAGGACTTTAGTGCCTTTCACATCAGCACTTGATCATACATAGACACTGTTCATATGTTTGTTCCTTGTTGCCTTGACAATAAAATCTTTGGAATGAGCTGTCCATGGAAAATGGGCTAGCCCTGTATCTGTGAGCTCCTGTGGACACTGGGCTCCTTCGGGAGGCTCTCTTCAAATTGTATGTGATCTTCCATGTCTGAATGAATCAATGTTTTATATATCTGTCCAATCAGTGTAGCCAATGTCTACATTACCCATTCTCAGCCAGGGTTCCATGGAACCCCCGGAGTTCCTCCAGAGGTTGCTAGGGGTTCCCTGGGTTGTGGCTGATTGATCTTCCATTTGATGGTGCCTGCACAGTTCCAGGGCCAAAACGACTTGTCATAGTCATCTGCATGACAACAATGATCTCCTCAGCTGCCTGTAAGGGTAGCATTTTTACCACCACTGTAAGGGGGGCAGGCTTCCCACTGTCAAATAATGTAAAGAACATTTCGCTACTGACCTACCAATGAATTGGTATAAGCAGGGATTCCCATGAGACCTGAAAATTAAGCAAAGGGTTCTCAGGGGTAAAATGGTTGAGAAAGGCCATTCCAAATTACACTGCTCACATAAATTAAACGAACACTTTGAAAACCCATCAAATCCCAATAGGGAAAAATATACTGGATAACTATACTGATATGGATGGGGTAATGTGTTAGGAATGTAAGGATGCCCCATCGTTTGATGGAAATGAAAATTATCAACCTACAGAGGACTGAATTCAAAGACACCCCAAAAAATCAAAGTGAAAAAATGATGCAGCAGGCTAGTCCATTTTTCTGAAATTTCATTGCAGCTACTCAAAATGTTACTCAGTAGTTTGTATGGTCCCCATGTGCTTGTATGCATGCCTGACAATGTCGGGGCATGCTCCTAATGAAATGACGGATAGTGTCCTGGGGTATTTCCTCCCAGATCTGGACCAAGCCATCACTGAGCTCCTTGACAGTCTGAGGTGCAACCTGGTGGTGGCAGATAGACCGAAACATGATATCTCAGAGGTGTTCTATTGGATATACATCAGGCGAGCGTGGGAGTCATTCAATGGTATCAATTCCTTCATCCTCCAGGAACTGCCTGCATACTCTCACCACATGAGGCCAGGCATTGTTGTGCACCAGGAAGAAAATAGTACCCACTGCACCAGCATAGGGTCTGACAATGGGTCCAAGGATTTTATTCCGATACCTAATGGAAGTCACAGTGCCAATGTCTAGCCTGTAGAGGTCTGTTAATCCCTCCATGGATTAAAAAGTGTTCCTTAAATATTTTGAGCAGTGTAATACAAAGGCTATCAGGAACCAAAAAACAAAACAAAAAAAAAAAACTCCACAGCAGCCCTCTTGTAAACTCCAGAACTCAAATTCTAATGTTGCTTTCACTTCTCAGTGGACTAAAACCCTTCAATTTTGTGTTAAGACAAAGTTCACCACTGAATTTTGTCGCTCCCAGTATACCAGGTAGCTGTGCTTGAGTGAAATACATTCTTAAATTTGTCTTTAACTTCCTTCTCCTATAATGCAGCATTTGTTTCTTAACAACAGATATAAAACTTTTGTCACTGGAGTGATTTTGATATACTGACATACTGATCAAATGCAAAAATAGCTTGGAGAAAATGTAAATGTGCAACGTGCTAGACAGGCAAGTGGAACAGCCTTTGAAAGATCCGGGATTCAGGCTACACTACTTGAATCAAGAGGAAAATTGATATGTAATCACTCATCTGCTTGATGAAAGTCTGCTGAAAGAATGGCCTAAGAATTATATTTAACCTGTGCTTCACCATGCCCTGGGACTGGCAAAAGTGGCTGAAGAAACGAGCGTAGTATAAGTGCATTACGGCGTGCTCCTTCCCTCCAATGTACAAATCAACGGGCATCCAGAAGTCAGCTAAGGACTTATCAAATGGCCTGTGGAAGAAAAACAACAATGCTTGTAAAAAAAGACTGGCATGGTTAAAAAAAAAAAAAAGTATCATGAGATAAAGGTGTTCATAGTAGCTGTGTACATCACAGAAAAGTTAACATTCAGGGAAGAGTTACCCGATTAGCTGGCAATATGACAGTGAGAAAAGCAAATGCAGGCAGTTCTGGGACTACTCTCTGCCATGATGAAAATGATTTCAAGACTGCTAGTTATAGTAAAATGAGTCTACTGAACTGGCAATGACGACTCATCACATTCTTTCTGAAAACTAGAAAATCCCTAACACAGATTATGGATAACTTCCTTCATCAAAGAAACGCCTTTCATTATGTATGTGCTGAGTTATGAAAAGTTCACAAGGGTTCAATTAAGAGGGAAAGTGCAGTAAAAACAGCTAAATCACAGTTAATATACATATTTATAAATTGATCTGCAAGTCTGTTCAGCAAGCTTTGCCATGCAGGCAGCCCTGCTAGTCAGAATTGCTAGGTCCCTGAGCTCGTTTTTCTCCACAGATGTATAGAGTATAGTTTGGTGAAGGACTTTCTCTAAACCGGTTTTTTGGAATGTTAACAAGCAGCAGCTCCTTGATGAGGCCAGCCTTGTTCTGTCTTGTCGTGTAAGCAAGCTCCCATTGTTATCTTCACAAAACTGTGAAATGCAGTAGACCTGAACATGAATGGCTCACACTTCTGCCCTGCAGTCTCCCAGTTCTGTTGTCAGGAAACCACAGGCGTATAAAGAAAGGCTGAGGTACTTCTACTACCTGTATATGGATTTATTGAATGCATAAGTTTATTAAAGGGGGCCTTTTATTCAAGCCTTTGACACTTGTCTAAACTGAATACGTTTTACCGTATTGTGCACACCTTAAGATATCATCCTTGCACTTTCATTGGGCAGGCTTGACAAAGGGGGCACCCCCCGAAATGTGTAACCATGTCCACTTCTGGAATCTCCTTCACACACCTTTGACTTCACTCCATTGCAAGCTTATGTGCATATACAAGCGCCTCTGGTTGGTGTAGGATGCCTGCTATCCCCTATCATTGCATCGGTCTGTGTATGCTGGGAAAACATCAGATGTTGATACACGCTGTTTGTCTTTGGACTCTGTGAGTGGTCATTTTTTATCCTTTTTATCTAATAAAGAAGGCTATACTACACTTAGCTGTGCCCCTTTTATTGTTTTAGTTTCCCAGTCTCCTGCGGTTGCTTCAGCTTGGTATAGAAAATTACCACACTTAGATCTCCATTCGCCTGGCAATTCATTGACTTTGTTTATGCTATTTGTCTGTATGATGACTTTGTGGACCATTCGTTTTTGTGCACAGTTGTAACATACACTGGTCTCTGTACATATCCTAAAAACATTATTTTAACAGTCACTAGCACAAGTTCTCCAACTCTCCAGCAGAATGTATCAGTTTACATAGATGAGTCAAATCACTTAACACTGGTAGGGGTGATTTATTTATTAATGCAAAACCTTAATCCCAAAAGGATTAAACATGGTTTGCTGTAACTGATTATAAAGTGTGAGCTGGACTTTGGCTTCCATTTGTTATTGTATGTAAATCTTCTAATTCATTTATAACTAGCCCACCCCCCAGACTGACAATGGTGCTGTCTGTTGTGCCTCCTACATTACCTTGAAAAAGTATTCATACCCCTTGAAATTTCCCACATTTTGTCATGTTACAACCAAAAATGTAAGTGTATTTTATTGGGATGTTATGTGCTAGACCAATGCAAAGTGGCACATAATTGTGAAGTGGAAGGAAAATAATAAAAGATTTTCAACATGTGTTACTTATCAATATCTGAAAAGTGTGGCGTGCATTTTTATTCAGTCCCCCTGAGTCAATACTTTGTAAAACCACCTTTTGCTGCAATTACAGATCCAAGTCTTTTTGGGGATCTAAAGAGTGACATTTTTGCCCATTCTTCTTGAAAAATAGCTCATGCTCTGTCAGATTGGATAGAGAGTGTCAGAACATCAATTTTAAAGTTTTGCTTTAGATGCTCAATTGGATTTAGGTCTGGACTTGAAGGTAATTGGTTCCATTAGATTTTAATTAGGAGTAGCAGAGTAAAGAGGGCTGAATACAAATGCACGTCACACTTTTCAAATATTTATTTATAAAAAATTTTGGAAACCATTTATCATTTTCCTTCCACAATTACCAGTATGTTCCACTTTGTGTTAATCTGGCACTAAAATCCCAATAAAATACATTTACTTTTTTGTGTTGTAACATGACAAAATGTGAAACATTTCAAGGGGTACGAATACTTTTTCAAGGTACTGGATCTCATTCCTTCAGTGTTGTGTCTCACTATTATAGGAGATATTTTACTGGCAGATCACCAGGTGAAACCAGAGGGAAATCAGCCAAAGAAAAGAAAACTGATGCAGTCACCACATCTAATGATTGGTAAGCTGCAATATACTACATTTTTGGTTTTGGCTTTAATACAGTGTTAAATAAACGTAATGTCAATAAAATGAATATGTATGCTACTAGCAAATAAAATACTGCCAAATATAACTAAACATGTCTCCTCCCTTACAAAAAACAGTTTCATATGTTTATTCATGTGGCTTTTCTTCAACAAGCCTTTTTCTAGTGCCATCATTCAGTCATACACAGCTCAACTACCAGCAACGCTTGGTATGGGTAAAAGCTCCATGACCACTATATGCTTGAACATGTGCATTCAACCATCGTGCCCCACCTTTTGTTGTGGTCCAGCACTATCCTGAGCACTAGAGAGGATACCAAACACCTACATTTTACAAATTTGGTCAAGTCTAGACAAATCCCAGCCAGATAGTTGCACATAAATGGAGAACATGTCTACTGACATATAATGGCCTGGAGGTTCCTACACTGAGCTAACTGGCTTGAGCAATTATTTATCTACCCTTGGATTAAGCTACAGGTGGGCAAAGCAAAATGTTTTAATAGTCAAGTTACATGCTTTAATGAGTGAGGCTAACAGCCTAATCACAAGGGATACAGACAATTTTGTGCAGCTTTAAAAAACAGTTTATAAGTTCCTTTACCTGTCTGAGTTATGGGGATCTGTATATCTGAAATAGTACCATGCTGAATCCACAAATGTGTCCATTGTGTCTGTCTCTCTCACTGCATTTCCAGCACACCTAGAACACATGAAAAGGAACATTTCTAATTGTTTCAGAGATGACTGTAGCACACGTTAGAGAAACACATACAGTAAAACCAGATAGGAGAGGAAAGACTTCAAGCATCACACACTAAAGGTAATTTTATAATATCAGATTTGGGCAAGAAGAGTTGGCAAATATTGCAAAGTTAGTAGAGACATATGTCAACAGACTACAGGCTGTAATTAAAGCAAAAGGTGGTTCAACAAAATACTGACACGGGTGTGAACCTTTATCCAACTCAGTGATTGTTTCTGAATTTTTTTTAATATTTTCTGACATGTTGGTGTTAGATCTTTCACTTGGAAGTTATAAGTTGCATTAAGTAAATACAGCTGGATAAAACAAAAACTGTGCTTGTCTTCATGTCAGGCTGCAAAGCAATAAAATGTGATTATTTTAACCACTTGTCTACTGGGCACTTTTACCCCCTTCCTGCCCAGGCCAATTTCCAGCTTTCAGTGTTGTTGCATTTTGAATGACAATTGAGCGGTCATGCAACACTGTACCTATATGAAATTTTTATCATTTTTTCACACAAATAGTGCTTTCTTTTGGTGGTATTTAATCACCACTGGGTTTTTCATCTTTTGCACTATAAAGGCAAAAAGAGCAAAAAAACTTTGAAAAAAAATGTTTTCTTTGTTTCTATAATAAAATTTTGCAAACAGGTAATTTTTCTCTTTCACAGATGTGAGTTGATGAGGATGCACTGATAGGCTGCACTGGTGGGCACTGATGAGGAGACACTGATGATGCTGACTGATATGCAGCACTAAGAGGTGGCAATGATGGGCACTAATAGGTAGCACTAAACGACACTCACTAGCAGTAATGCTGGGAACTTATGGGAAGCACTGCTGGGCATTGATGGGTAGTACTGATGGGCAGCACTGGTGGGTGCTTTTGGGGCTGCACTGATAATCAGGGCAGATGTCTGCTTTGACAGTTGCCGGTTACAGGCAGTACTTTCCTCATGCTGTGACAACGTGAGGAAAGTACTGTTGATAAACAGCAAGTGTATTTACATAGTGGTCAGCTGTGATTGGACACAGCTGATCACGTAGTAAAAGGCTGCTGTGATTGGCCTTTAACCGAGTCATGTGATCAGCTATGTCCAAAGGACACTGGGGGCGCGTGGAGGGCGCGTTCTGGGAGGACATCATATAACGCCTCCCAGAACTGGACACCTATGCGTTTTTTGGTGCTTTTTGCAGAAATGAACTACTGTCCATTTAACATGGTTTCCTAAGGAACTATGTTCTATGCTTTTTTCAGCTGTTGCAAAACGGTGCGTTTTTGGTTCAAAAGACTTCAATGGAGATGCTACAGTAAAGAATGTAGTTTTGATGCATTTTTGATGCGTATTTTTTTTTTTTAATCTGTGCAACAACACACTGCCAAAAAAACCCATACAAGATGCAAAACGCATACATAAAAGCATAAGAAAACAAATGTGCAAAAACTCAAAACTGCAAAAAAGCACTAAGGAATGAATCAAAAGGAAAACTGCATAGATATGAACCAAGCCTAAGCCTTTAGAACAACTTTACTTTATTATTATTATTATTACTACGAGTTTATATAGCGCCAAAGGGTTTGCTCAGCGCTGTACAATAGGGGGGGACAATACATGGCACAGTACAACAAAGACAGACAGCGTACGAGGGGTAAGAGGGCCCTACTCTTACGAGCTTACAATCTAGGAGGGAGGGGGTAAAGGTACAGTAGGAAGTGGCTGGGGGGGATGAAGTGGTAGGAGGAATGAGGGAGGACTTTCATAATAAAATGCCCTCCTGAGCCTTATTGACACATTTAATGCATTTAAAGGTTTCAGGCATGTTTCGCCTTTCCTTTCTTTCCTCCAAACTGTACATATTATGTTGCTGAAGTCTCTCCTGATATATTTATCCCTCAGACCTTTCACCATTTTTATTATCGTCTCTGGACTTGTTCTATCTTATCAATATCTTTTTGTAAGTGAGGTCTCCAGGTCGCTGCTCATACCACTAACTGACACCTTCTCGCCGCTCATACCACTAATGACACCTTCTCGCCGCTCATACCACTAACTGACACCTTCACAGAAAGATGTGGCCGACCACTAAAGTTCCGCCCAGCAAACGTTGGTGCACTAGAGACAGTGAGGGTGCACTGGGGATGGGGCGCCGATTTTTTGTTGCCTAGGGCAGTACAAAACATAAATACACCACTGTCTGCTGGTGATCCCTCTAGTGATACACCACAGAATTCTAATCACTCTTCTGTTATCTCATTTTGCAGTCATCTGAAACACAGTAAATACCCCCAAATCTCTTTCCTCTCTATTAAGATATTTTTTTTATCCTAGGTAAAGAAAAATGTACTCCTTTCCATGCCTGAAGAAGAATGTACTTCTTTCAATGTTTTAATTATTTTATTTTCATATATGTGTGCAGGGTAGAATAACCCAACACAATGACTTATCTAATTAACCACTTCACTACTAGAGCAGATTTTTTCAATCTTTGCACACCTGTTAAAATGCATATTTTAGGCATGAAAACTAGCCCCAACAGTATATATTTTCTGAAAGCAAAAACCCTGGAGAATAAAATGGTAGTAGTTGCATTTTTTTATGTCATATGATAGTAGTGCATGTTGATCAAAATATCAAAATATTTATTAAAAAAAAAAAAAGGTACACAAAAGTTAATTTTAGTGCAAACAATAATAATAATAAAATATCAAAGATGATGTTGCAACGAGTAAACTGATACCCAATGTGTCAAGTCTTAAAATTATGCAAGTTTGTGAAAAAACAACAAACTTTGTACCCATACTGTACTGTCTATAGGTATTGCTTTAAAAGCCTTTAGAGGTTACCAGTTTAGGGTTAACCCTGAATGATGGCCCTTTCAAAAAAGGCACTGGCAGACAAGTGGTTAAAGGACTGCTTTATAAGAGATTGCACCATTGCTCACTGCTGCTTTGTTATATGTGGGTACAAAAGGTTTTATCAAAACATCCTGACATCCATGTCTTACGTTACAACAAAAATGATCAAAATGAGCAACAGTGTCGGCAGATATTGGCTGAATCACATTATTTGTTCCATTAGCTATGAAAGAGGAATGCTGCAAGCCATGTTTTATTTGTACCAGGCAGTTGTCACTAATAACACATTTTTTCCTTTGAAAGAAGATGAAAGCTGACCCTGAGCAGACTGCAAGAGTAGAAGAGTGGCACAAAAATAAGTCTTATAGGAGAACTCTGTTTCCTATGTAGTTTTACTGGTCCTACTTGCAAAGCTAGTGAAAATGGCAGTTTCTACTGATCTTGATATTTTGTATGTTGCTGAAGTACTTAACTTTCCAGAACATTTTATGAAAGGCACAAAGAGAATAAGGTAAGTCAGGTAGCTCTACTGTGAATTTGGAAGTGATGCATGGATTATGTTGGGTTCTTTTACCTTGGACACTTGCAGTTCACCCAGTCTGTTACAGCTGATAAAGGAGATGAGCCCTTCCCTGTGAAGGAAGTCACTTTGGGAAGGAGCACAGGTAAGTCTTCATACGGTACAGGGACAGTACCACATGATTTGCAGTGGATGATGGGGATAGGTGTTCCCCAATAACGTTGTCTTGATATGAGCCAGTCCCTTAGCTTGTCACTAGTCAGGTGTCCACCAACTCCCTCATCCTGGGCTTGTTGGGTTATAGCGCAAAATGCTTCATCTCTTCTCAGTCCTGTGAACTGAAAAAAAATCATCACACCTTAGTATATTATATTTGATAATACAAGGAAGATGTGCATGTAAAGAGATATAACGTCTTAGGGCCAATTCACACTAGACCACACATGTTTTGGTTTTGACAACCCAATCATTTAATTGGGCTGCCAAATGCAGAGGTAGTGCATGAGCTACTTTTACAAATCGCGTTGCACCAAAAGGCATAGTACTGCATTTGCTAGATGCTTTTCAGGTACCATTAACAATTAATCGCACATATGCTTTTAGTAAGGGCAGTGCATTTGCCTGCAGTGCAGGAAACACACCTTTCCTGCACCACATTCTGGGGTGGAAGGGCCCTAAACCATAACACATAATGAGAAAAGCAGTATTAAATTAAAAAACTAAAATGTTATATATTGCAGCTCATCAATCTTAAATGTGTTTGCCACGTTAGTTTTATTTTTAGGCTTTTTTTCACCTGATGATCCAGCCAGGAAAAAACTTCCTGTCTTAGGGTTTCTGCACTCCGGACGGAGAAGCAACAGAGATACTTTTGGACAGACACATCTAGGGAGAGGGTAGTATTAGATGTAATAAAAATAAAAAAGCAAAAATTTTAAAGTGAACTCAAAATACTTGTAACTATAGAAATATACTGTATAAATATTAAGAGCTATGTGGAAAATAAGCTAAAAATGCAAAGTCCATCAGAAAAAAACAGTGCATGTCCATAGGTAGATTAAACCACAAATCTTTAATCCAGGCATTAGAATCATCAAAAGTAATTAAACATCTCTTGCTTTCTTTGTGGCTGCTCCTCACATAAGTGGGGAAATCAACAACTGATATACAACCTACAGCAGGGCATAGATGAGTTGAAAACCAAACAAGTATTAAAACTTTTACAACTTCCAGTTCCAGCACCGTATGGAGAGGAGCCGTCCCTGGTCCCGCCGCCCTCCTCCACCGCTGCTGTCCAAAGCCCGCTATACACTTCGGGGGGACCCCCCCTCTGCCTCTGGAATTCATGGACCGCTTCGTGGAGAAGTCCCAATCCCGCTCCTCTTCACTCTGCCGCCTGTCACAAGGGGACACAGCGGCCGCTGCAGCCAAGATGGCTGCCGCTGAAATCATCCCCACTGACACAGGGGATGGGGATCAGCAGAGCCCTCACCAGCCACAGCCTCCTACTCCTCAGCCTCCAGACCCTGTCTCACCAGCTGGCATCACCCACACAGTTATGGCACTCCTGGCACCCACTCTCATGGCAGAGGTCAACAGTGCTGTTCTTAAAGGGCTAGAACAGCTACACAAAGATCTCCACACCCAAGCCCACAACATTACACAGATGGAAGATAGGATCTGCTCCATTGAAGACGGCTCATTGGCTGTTTCTGCGGCAGTAGTCCGACTCACCACAGTCCAAAGAGATCTTCAGGATAAGGTAGACGATCTAGAATACCACTCACGGCGGATTAATTTGCGCATTATAGGCCTGCCCGAGTCGTATTCTTCCTCCATGCTGATCACCATATCTGCTACGTCCATTCCAGAGCACTTAGGCCTGCGACACCCCTGCACAGTTGAAAGAGCCCACCGCCGTCCGACTCTCAAACTAAACCTAGGCAGGTGATTGTCCACTATCTAAGATACGCTGACAAACAGGCCATCCTTCAGAAATTTTGGCGCACACATGCTTTATCTTTGCACAGACACCAACTGCTCTTGTTCGCGGACCACTCCATGGAGGTTATGCGACAAGGTCTTCTCTGCAATCTGCTCCACTCTCTATCACAGGCAGGTTAAGTTGACTTTGGCTTATCCCGCTGTTCTTCATATCCAGCCATCGGATGGAGAAAGGCTATCCTTCAATTCACTGATGGAAGCGGAGCAATACCTCAACGGTATCCCTGAAGCATCCATGGATCAAAGTCCCTCTTCTGCACCGTCTTCCTCCTCTCCCCAAGGGGAAATTCTGCTCCCTTCCAGAATCAACCAAGTCCTCAAAAGCCACTGAATAAATGGGTGCGCTTTGGTCGGGCCGAAGATCGCTATGTTACCCGCTGACTTGTTTCATCGGATATGTAATGGTTTTCCGTGTTTTTCTATGCTTTCTCAGGGACCGATATAATTTGTCTTATAATGGCAAATGTTTGGTATTTACCTGTTTTGTTCATGCCTCTCCTGTGGTGATCCGCCCTGCACACCTGTCCCCTCGGATGGGCGAAGAGGGTCTTCAGGTACTTTTGTTCCCCCTTTCACCATTCTCCTTCCTTCCTCCACCCCCACTTTCTTCCCCCTTCAATCGCTCTTCCCCCCCCTGTATACGTTGTTGTCCAAGACAGTAGTGGAGTGTTGAGTGCGGGAGCTTCACTGGATTGCTCTATGCGGAAAAAAGTGAAGTTCCCGATCTACCTGGGGAGCTTCTTCCCATTTATTAGAGAAGTTCTGCATTTATTGTTTTGCAATGTTGTCTTTTATTGCTGCATTTCCCTAGGTAACGAATATTGCTCTGATCAGCCTGGACTCGTTGGGGTGATGCCTGGCGTGATTCTGCCCTATTGTAGACATTTTCCAAATTTTGTACTACGATAGACATGCCTCCACCTGATGACAGGGATCACTTGAAGGTAATCTCATGGAATGTTAAGGGACTAAGCTCAACGAACAAGCGTATGCAAGTACTATGTCATTTGAAACGTTTGGGGACAGATGTAGCTCTCTTGCAGGAAACACATCTCTCCGCCAGCAATCTTTCTCATCTTTCGAGACTGTGGGTGGGTCAGGTGTTTGGTTCTTCGGCCGTGGGCTGTAAGGCGGGAGTAGCTATACTATTCCACAAAAATATGCGTTACAATGTTCGCTCTGATTCTGAGGGTCGCAAACTCACTGTCCATATTACTATCGCCTCTCGTAAAATTACTATCTCTATTCTATACGCTCCCAATTCTCCAGGACAAAACTTTTACCAGGATCTGACTTCATGGGCCTTACAAATTCCATAATCCTGTCAAATCCTGGGTAGGGACTTTAACGCAGTTATGCACAATGATATTGATCGAAACAGAGAATATCCCACGCGACGTCCCAGACAACTTTCTCGGTATCCCCCCTCAACCGCTTTAACACAATCTATGGGTATGCTTAATATGCATGACGTATGGCATCTCCAACACCCGACAGTGAATACACGTTCTATTCATCCCCTCATGACTCTCACATTGACTATATTTTTTGCTTGCAGTCTCTCTTGTCCATGCTACGTAGAACGACTATTTCTGATATGGCTATTTCCGACCATTGTCCCATCCTATTACAGCTGTCTGGGTTGAAAACTCCAAAATCCCGAACCCCTGGCACTTCCCTGCTTATTTACCTAATAAAGAAGACTTCAAATCTTATTTACTTGCGGCATGGCAGTAATTTGCAGGCAGGAATGGAGCTCATTTAACCATTCCTAACCTATTCTGGGAAGCCGGAAAGGCATTCCTTAGAGGGCGCATAATCTCCTATGCCCCGCAATTTAAGAAAAGGTCCCAAATGCCTTACCAACAGGCAAGCGAATCTCTTTGTCAGGCACATATCGCGCTCTCTCTCGTAATCACACGCACGAGAATAGGCAGAATTGGCAATCTGCCAAACGAGCCATTGATTATTGGGCTGAACACCAGGAAGCAGCCAATTTGGCCTTTTCCACTTTTATAGATATGGCAATAAGGTGGGAAAGCTGTTGGCATGGCTTAGTGCGGGAGCTTGTCCTTGTACTCCCACTTATATCTCTGCGCTCCGGTCACCCGCGGGCAATGTCGTATCGCTGTCATCTGATATTAATGACGTTCTTACATCCTATTATACTTCCTTGTATTCACAGGACCCTAATTGATTCTAGAGCTGCCGAGGACTTTCTAGCCTCTATTAATCTTCCCAAGATTTCTGGATCCCAGCTAACCGCCTTAAATGCTCCCATTACACGAGGCGACATTTGTGCGACTATCAAATACCTACTGTAGCAATCATGCACACAGAGATGGACGCGGTCATCCATTTTGCTCCAAACCCCTCCATATTGTATCTCCCTCTCCCAAATCAGATTCCTCCAACATCCCTCCCTCTCTGTTTAGTGACATGTGGTCTGTTTGTTGCAGAGATCACAGGCAGCAAACTCATTGGGAGGGCGGCATGGCTATAAAACCCCCAGCCGAGCTGGTGCCTAGATGCCTGTTAGCTCACAATCTGGGATATCGTAAGACCATAAACCAAGCCCTAACGGAGCTTCAAAAGACATGCCAGGGAGTCATAAAACAGGCTTACATTTTAAAACCCAGCTTTCCATATAATTTTATATCTCCAAATAGGAAATAATTACGCAAACATGGAGCACATATTCGGATGGCTCACTTTAAGACAAGTCGCCTGGTATATTACACCCCCTAGCTGGCATATACAGGAGAGCAGAAAATTATATCTCTTTAACCACCCAAGCAGGTATCTCATATTTCATATGTAGATATTCCGCAGAAGATTTTGGTTATTAATCTACTTGTGGATAGAATGTTATATGTACCTAGGAAAAGTCATTGCCCATAGTATAATTTGTGAAGGCTTGGTCATAGCCTGAGCTCCCTGCCTACACAACCCCCTCCCCAAATGAGGCGATTGGTTCTCTGCTTCAGGGAAACACCCTGCTGAGTTCCTAGATAAAGGCTGTGGTGCTTGAAGTAAAGGTGAGCTGTGTTGAGCAAAGTTGAAGAATCTCCCTTTTAACATCAGAACTAATTTTGGGAGATAAAGCATCCTTTTGGCTCATGAAACCTGATCTGCTTAAACCAGGACGTTTGGCAAGTACTTTACCTCCCTAAATTCCTTTCCGTTATCTCTTTGCTGTGCTATTGTTCTCTGTATATTTATATATATTGGCTACATCTTTTTCTGTAAATATTTGTATTGCACCCTTTTTACCTTTTAGTAATAAATCTTACTTTCTGAAAGTGTTGAACTGTTTCTAAAGCTCTGTAATGCA